GATTGTAAATAATTTCAGAATAAAATGATACACTTATGTCATGAAACAACATTAACTGTGGGTAGGTACATAATGTACCTATGTTGGTATTCAAAATGTTAACAAGTGACGATTTAGATGTCATCTAGTAAGTTAGGTTTACAGTTCCATTCGTTATTCACAGAAACATGTTTGTTATGAGTAAGGGGATCTTATTTGTAGTATTTCAAGGTTATGGCTTATGGAAACAAATCACCTGTACCTTGAACAAGAAATCCACAGAAAAAAATATCAGATTTATCTCACTATTTATTTTATCCCCTGTGGTTGTATAGTAAAAAACAAATACACAGAATCTATCGGGGACAATACATTTCATGAATATTTTATTCAGTATACTATATTTCTGTGTTTATTATAATTAGCATACTTGGGTGATGTATTTGTTAGGCTGTTCTTAATGGCATTATCTTCAGTTCAATTTCATAATAAGATCCCACATCTACAAAAATGCTCCATTTTTAGGTTCTCTATGTAAACTAGGGCATAATATATGACTCATTATAATTTTTGCATCAGAACTGATACTGCTTGTAAAAAAAAAATGTTTTTGCACTCTGTAGGCTCTTGTTAAGGCTTATTTTTTTATTTTTCATTCTGGATCTAGCTTTCTTCAAATGTCTAACTCTTTTGTATTTTTAATTGCTTTCAAAATTAACAGACTCCAAAGGTCACCAAAAACAAATCCTTCTTAGCTGTTCTGAAATGCCAAAAATATTGTCTTTTGACACAATTCATTTCTGAATTTGTAATATTACAAATTAACAATTTTCACCATACCTTAAATACTCTCAATGCACAACCCCCCCCACCCCCACCCAATCCCCTAAAGTTACCTAGACCAACCTCTAAGTGATTTTCACACAGATTTTAAGTTTAACAAACTTAAACTTTTAATGCTTTTGAGGCTAAAAAATAAATTATTACTGTATGGTTACATTTAAGAGTTTTAAAATGCCAAAATTTTTGAAAACGTTAGAGCATCATAATAGAACAGGTTCAGAAACAATTCCATAATATTATGACATACTTTGATTAAGTTTCTAATGCTTTCTTTTCTTAGTTAAAAGCTAAGTTAATGTTTACGGTCCTAGAGTGACAGATGCTGACAAAGAGTGGATACATATAATTGTCCCTTTGTATGTAAGATTAACTGTGAGTAACGTATACCTTCATGGTGCTGAAATAACTTATTTTTATTTGAAGCTTGTTTAAATGTCATTAAAAGACAATTTTCATGAGTGCTTTCAGTTACATTAATTTATTGATTTTAATGTTTAAAAATTTAATTTGAATGAATCAGTATTACATACAGTTTCTACAATCTAGACTTGTGTAATATGGTTCTTTATTAAATATTATGATCAGTAACAAATTAGGCCTCATTTAAGTCATTTGTGTAAGTGAAATACCATCTCCTTATACCCCCCCCCCCTTTAGCTTTAGCAATACTTATGACAGTAAAAGATATGTCACTGTTTTATGATTTATTTTCAATTCTGGATTTTAATTAATTTTTAGTAATGAATTTTTGTAAAACTGCAACAAAAATATTGTTGGTGTTTAACTTAAGATTTTAGGTTATAAGTCTAGGTGACCTTCACTGTATAAGCTTTTAAGTTCATTAAGTAACTTATTATATTCCAATTTATTTTATGAACTAGTAGATTTTTAGCTGTAGCATAGCAGCTTTGAGTTGTTGTGTTTTTCAAGTACAAACTTTTAACTCATAGCTCCATCATCTCTTGACAAATTTGAGATCAAATTACAGCTTTGGACTCAGGAGGTACAAACCCTTTGGACTGATGTATTTCACCAAGCCCAAAGTTTCATAGATTAATTTACTCTAATCCTGCCTAAAAGAATATCAGTTTGAGGGTAGGCTGGTAGAGATCCTGACGAGTAATAAAATTTAATCAGGTGTATGCTCGCCCCATGCTTGGTATTGCTGGCACACAAAAATATAACTAATATAAAGGGGAAAAAAAAAAGTCTTATAGATTCATTTACTCGATTCCTGTCTAAAAGAATTTCAAGTGCCACAGCTACTGATGATTCCTTCTTGTTTACATTTAGTATATCTCAGAGCAGTGTTCACACCAGCAAACTTATTTAAACTTTAAACATACCATTCAAGGAAGCTGGAAATGTACATTTTACATACATATTTTTAAGAATATCACACCAGAGTAAAATATTATATAGCATAAGATGCTGTTCTGGCTTTAGTATATTATTTCAAAGTAAATGCATAATTTTTGAAAATAAGATAATTTTATAATAATATCTATATGAATGAAGTTTTGATTGTAATTAAAAACATGCTTATCTTATGGTTTGAGGATTGTACCTTATGGAATACTTTGAACCTCCTGTCTTATTGTGCAACATGTAAAATATTGTAGAGGAGTTCTGAAATAAACATGCACGTCAATAGGAAATGAGTATAGTAGTAGTCATAAAGTTAGGCTTAATTGTTACTATTGTAATGCTAGAAGTAT